ACCCTAGCATATTGCCCTCGAGTAAGATGTGCTGTATGGGCATCCACACGTAGCAAAGTTCCAACCTTGTTTCCAATTTTTTGCAAAGTGATTGGATCATAGTGATCAGCAGAAAGATGAGGAAGACGAGCCCAAACCACAGTGGTAGAGAAAGTAGTCATAGTGGGATCAAAATTGGGTTCCCATCGGCGGATTGTAAGATAATAAGGGCCGACGAACCAAGGGCCCCCAAATATCACACGATTGAGGTCTTCTTGTACCTGTAATCGAACAAGGAAGAAATCATTTCCCAGATCAATGAAATCTCACTTACCTGTAGGTTTCCATTAAGCTTTTACTCGAGGATATAGAAAATTGTAGCCAACAGGTTTCGGGGCAAAAGCTTTGATGATCAGAGCATTAGCCCAAGGCTCTCTGATTCGTCGTTTCTCAGCTTTAGATAGTAAAATAACTGGAATATCACTGGTGGGATCCTCATCCACATCAGAATCCTCATCAAGATAATTAGGAATAGTGGCAAATGAAATCCCCTCAGATTTCTCTTCGAGAAGCAATTTGTCCTTATATGACAAGGGTTCCGAACCGTAAACATGGTTTGGAGAAACAGTTAGTTGAGAGGAGATGCAAGCAGTCTCAGCCGGTGCATTTGAGACACCATCGACGTCGCAAATTGCCGGATTTAGAACATTAACATCGTCGCCCATATCCACATCCCATCGACCTGTAGAAGGAAGATCCTCCTTGATTCGCTTGACACTACGAGCCAGGAGGTCATCCTCTTGGGTGTTGGGTGAGGAAAGGGTGAGAGAATCGGGAGCATTTGGAAGGGTCGCCATGTTCATTTTAGTTTGATACGTGAGTTTTATGATTTATGTTAAAATGAAATTTTTTTGGTTTAAGTGTAATAAACTTAGATTTTGTGGCAATTGATTCTTTGTTTTATGTTTGGGAAAATCAAATTTAAAAATTAATGATCTTGTGAAATTTTTAATTAGTGCTTTAAATTTTACATAAAATAGATAGTTTAAATAGATAAAAAAAAAAATTTGATGAGAGAGAACTTGCATTATCATGAGTTGATTTTGTGAAAACTCAAGATGCGAGAAAAAGAAGTTGAAGGAACAGAAATACTGAAGGAGATGACAGAGGAGCAGATCTGCAGATTGACTTAGGAGACTTGTCTTCTTCAATTTTTTTTAAAAAATCCAACATTAATATCGAACAAAATAGAGTACGGAGGCTCTGGAGTGAGAGAGGGCAGCAGTGGCAAACGAAAAAGAAAATGAAAAAGATCAAATGGTTTGGAATCGGTTGTCAGTTTTAATGTTCAGTCTCTTGCTACGTGTCAAAAAACTACGAGAGAGTGGTGGAGCGAGTGTTGAAGGGCGACTGCCCATAGCATTGCTCTAAATGGAATTCTTTCTTTTGCTTTTAGTGGAATTCTGCCTTCCTCTCCTTTTAGGTACTATTTGCATAGACCATTATGGTTTTACTATTAAAGTGCTAACATTGCTCTTCATTTCTTTACTCACCCCCATGCCTATAGCTTGAATCTAGGACATCTTATTAAAGTCGTCACTGGCTTGAATTAAGTATATATACCATGATCATTGTTAATTAGATATGTAATTAACATATGCATATTGTTTTGGTATTTTTTATCCAGGAATCATGATTCAGTTCTAAACTTCATTATTTCAGGAATATATTTGCATAATGGCGGGAGTCACGGCAGCGGTCAGGGGTGCATTCGTGGGCTGGTTCTTGAATGGCATGCTATTGCCTTCATTATCTAGACAACTGGGATATTGCACAAACCTTCCAAAAAGTATGAATACACTCAGAAAGAGGGTGGAAGATCTAAACCAACTGAAAGATGATGTCGAGTTAAGGAAACTGACTATAAGGTCTGGAAAAATGATGAAGAGAGAAGTGGAGAACTGGCTTAGACGCGTAAAAACCATCAATAAACAAATGCAGGTTATTGAAAAAATGTTTCATGCTGTTTCACCCATCTTTCGTGCTTGGTTCGGAGAATTTGTTCTTGAGAAAATTGATGAAGTTGAACAACTCTGTCGACAAGGAACCTTCTCTGGTGGAATTGTGATTGATCAACCTTCAACTGTTGGACAAGTAGTGGAGGTGGAGGTTAGGAACATGTGTTTTCTATTGGCTACATGCTGCTTGTTTGTAAAT